CAGAATTACTTTTCAGCAATGCCATGGTTCTGGGTTTGGGTTTGCACAGTCACATCCCTGGTCTCTGCTTGGCATCCACAATAGGAATGCGCACCTGCTCCAAGCACCGGTACTCGTTTTTTTCCTCCATGCTTTAAAAGCATCAATGTAATGGTGTGTGGTGGCCATTTTCTTCCTTATCGCTAAAAACAGACGCGCCATCTGGGTGGCTTCCAGCTAGGTCTCCATTCAGCGCTGGGATCAGGAGAGTCGCTTATCAGGTGAGCAGGGGCTTAAGTCCCAAGGCGCCCCAACATGGGAACATAGGGGTCTATTGTTTTACAGATTGTGTCAGTGAACTGGAAAACAAAACTTAAACTGATAATTATTTTACTACGACTTAACTATTATTATACTGAGTGAGGACACAGGCCAACCACAGCTCCACAGTGCTTCAGTGAGCAATTCACTTTCCTATGACGGTCTACAGATGGCAGGCAAGAGCAGCTCACGCAAGGTAACCAGGGAGGTGTTGATGTCTTGAGCTCTCACACCCATGCTCTCGGCTTTTAAAGGGATATATATGGCCATACAGAGCCCCAAACATGCTTACCTGAGATCAAAGGCTTGTCATTTGCATATATGCTAATCATGCTGGTGTGGCCCTGCCCCCATGCTACTGGGAGACTTGGAGAATGAATGTGGCCTGACAGTCTGGCAGGCGGCTGCATCAGACCTTTTACAGTCCACTCGAGCAGATGACAGCCTCGTGTCTGTCAGCACTCATAATCCCCCACCCCAGCTTGTCCTTTCTCTCACTCTATCGCTCTATCCTCCCTCTCCTCACCTCCTACTTGACTTTGATGATCCGGTCAAGCTCATTTGTAGTAAATTCAAACATATATTCAGCAACTTAAATAAATGAACAACAAAAGATTCATGCTATTACACAAAACTGCAAAGTGAAGTTGAACATGAAATAACTACATCTCAAAAACAGTTGTATATTCTTATTAACCTTGGCATGTTACTGTCCCCTGGCTCGTTCTGTATTATCAAAGGTAGTGAGCATAGGACAGGTCAGTACAGGAGAGCCCCCTCCCAGAATGATGGTCAACAATCTCTGATTCAGGCATTCCAGTGAAGCATGCTGATTTTATTGGTAATTTTTGCTTTTGTCTGGGAATACTTCTCACGGAGTTGCAGAAATTGCATCCCCATTTGCTCTCCAGGCAGCCAGTTCTGACGGTGTTGGCTTGTTACCATGGAGAGGCCGTGAACGATCAGCCTGTGCTCGGTCAGATCTGCTTCTGCCGGTTTGCTTGTTCCTGACACAGAAGAGCTACCCTGCCAATCCATATTTTCTGCTCACTGCCTGGTGTTTCTCCCAAAGTAGCAGACGGGGTTTTTTGTTGTGGATTATCATTCGGTTCGGTTTTGATAGCCGATTCGGGTCTGGGCTCGGCTGGCTGGCTCTTGCGGGCTAAGCTCTGGGTTTTGGGGGGATTTAGGCCAGCTCAGTCAGTGGGGCTTGACTGCAGGTGGAGCCACATCTGCTAGATGTTTCTCCTGGGCTGTTCATCCATGCTGACTGAATCAATCCCTCACTTCTGTACAGATATTTTGGGTCACACTCTCATTTGTACATTTACTTCGTGTAGCCTTCATGCTGGTGTGGGATTAATCAGTCGCCAGGCTAAAGCTACCTGGTGTGCGTCATGTGGGGAGTTTTGAGGGCTGACCTGCGTCTGGCCTGTTTTTTCAGCTGCCTGGCTCTGGCAACACAGCTGAAGCAGCTGCAGGTTCTGCCACTGTCCATGTTTAGTGGCTGCGTGAGACCTTGAGGCTGTTTGTCTATTATGTAAACACTGAACAATGCTGGACCCAGACGGGACCCTTGTCTCATTCCATGCCCCACGGGGCACTGTTCTATACTGCAATCCTCCATTTCCATGTGACTGTTCTTGTTTTCTGTGTATGCTGATTTAATAACATCATGTACTTTACCCCTTGAACCACGAAGTAATTTGTAGCACAGTCTGTAGAACCAAATAGAGTCAAAAGGCCTTTTGAAAATTCAATAAAGGAAGCAGAGACCAGTTTTCCTTCCTTTTTGTATGGGCCATTGATGGCTGATGGTCTGTAGGGCGTAAATATGGTCAGTGGCGAGGCATTTTGGTAAGAAGCCGGTCAGATCCCGTGCTCAGGGAGGAAGATCAGAGTTTGGGTTCTGATGATGCTCTAGGACACCTTTCCTAGATGCCTCTCAAAGTGATTTGTTGGGAATCCGTGGGAGTCGTTGGGGTTGAATTGATCTGTACTTTTACGAATTAAGGTTAGAAGTTGTTTTCAAGTGTTGGGAACACAGCCATAATTCTGTATCAGGTTCTGCTCTCTTCCTCCCCCTCTCCCTCCCTTTCTGAAATACTGGCTGTCATGGAGGCCGTCCTGATGGTCTCTCACAAGGTCATGGGTTCACTCGCTCTGTCAATGAATTCAGGGACTCAGCCTTCTGTCTCTCGCCGCCTGTTTGAGCACAAAGGCGTCTTGGCCAGCTCTCTGTGGCATGACCTTGTGCTTCCCCTGACCCCCAGCTAGACCCACAGCCTGGCAGGGTTAAGTGCAGTGAGTGACCCCGGCACTATGTGGGCTCCAACCGCAGCTTCTGCCGTGGCACGCAGGGAAAAGAGAGCGATGACAGAGCAGCTGCTCTCTTGCAGCCCAGAGCAGACATATGTGGCATGATGTCAGCGAGCTAGCCTGGTTAGCATTAGCCAGCAGGTGAAATGACCACCTCACCTCTAACAAGGAGGGTCAGTGTGCGCAGCACAAAAACACAGCATCCGTACCCAGATAGTCACCACGCCAATGCTTGCGTCTATCTTCTTATAGCATTGATCTTCCCTTCCGCTTATTACTGTGTAACTACAATCATTGTGGCCACAATTAGCCTGGATCACTACATTCATTAGGCTTCACAGTTCCACTCGCTCTCTCATTCCATCCCTCATCCCTCACTCCCTGTCTCTCTCCTGATACTTGCCCCTTATTTTCATGCGGATACGTGACTGGGCAGCTCCCTGCTGGTTGTGGTTAGAATCAGCCAATGGGATTGTGCTTCTCAGTTGCTCATGCACAGGAAGTTAAGCAGCAGGTAAAAAAAAAAAAAAAAAACCAAGTCAGACTTGGGGGGTCTCTACCCTACAGCCTCCGGAAAGGATAGGGAGCAGTAAGCTCAAAGCTATAGACACTGCCTCAGCATTGTTGGGGGGTGGGGACCTGAAAGGAGGTGCCAGATAACCTACCCCATCACTCACCCTAAAAAAAAGAAAGAAATAATAACAGGAGGATGCCTCTCAAACGTTTACTTACTCAGTCCTCCATAATGACCCTCATCAAGATTAAGATAGTGATGAAGGGGACGGCAGCACGACCAGCTAAAGGGCAGCACATTGAGGGCTTTAATTAGTTACTTTAGCACAGAGAGCAGCCTTTATTCTAGCGATCTCCGTGATTAGAAATGAAATCATAAGGAGAGCCGCCACTTCCCGGCGCGCGCGAGGGAGAGCGCGGAGACGCCGCCTCGCGCTGATTACACCCGCGCACTAAACATTCGGGCTCCAAACTAACGGACTCATAAGCTGCTATAATGGCTAATTTAGACATCGCAGACACTCTTAATGAGATTTTTTTATCTCTCTATAATCAAAACATCATCTATCCAAATTCTGATTTAAACACTAATAATTTTAATTAAAGAGTTCCAGCTGTCCGTGATTGAGGAGCCAATAGGGGTCTCGTCGCCCCAATCAACGTCGCAATTGTTCAGGCAGAACGAGTAGGATAAGGGAGTGTAGGTAGGTAAACAGATTAACTTCGAAAGGTCTGTAAAGTAGTATTAATTAGTACTATCAATTAGTAATAAACTTTTACTGTTTATTTTAAGGGAAGACTCGTAGCGCTGCCAGCTGTTTCATGGATTTCTCGCGAGACGTTTCACGTAGTGACTCACGCGGGCGTTTCCACGGAGACGCGCGTACACAAAGACGTCACGCATCCAAACGCTTGTTGATTACTGTGGGAAGCTGCGTTATTTATCGAAAAAAAATCAACAAAACGGAAAGACCGCTACATGCGAATTACTCACAATTAGTCTAGTGTCCGGGCTAGTGTCTAACGCCGGGTTTGGCGTCCTTTTATGTAAATCATTATCGTCAATCGAGCTGATAACGCAAAATGAAGATATGAGGTATTTTAACTTTGTACGAGATTACAAAAACAATGCAAACACAAGTATACAGAATACCTCATAATATTTAGAAATATCTAGATGAAAACTATCAGTCTATCTCTGTTTAAGCATCGCATGGGGTTCGCCAGTCATCCCAGGAATACTGCTGTTGGTGAGACACACATTTTGATAGTTTTATTGTCGGATATGATGGGGTCTGGTATTCATGGGTGGTGTAATGAATGATTTTTATTGTGCTTTCATTACAGGGAAGAATAAATCCAATTGAAAACAACACTAACGCTAATAGGCAGTAAAAGTGGTATCAGCCATGAATTTAAGCAATTTTGTGGTGGTTCCCAACAAGCCCACTTCGCTTAAGTTAAAGGCCAGGTCTGTATATGTAGTTTTTTTTTGTACCATTTCTAGTCTAAGACTCTTTAGAGTTAAAGACACCTTGCAGTGGAAAAACACACTAGATATTCTTCAGTCCCAGGTCTCACTATGTAAAGAGTGTCTACAGAATATAGCTTCCAGTAGAGTAAGCTATTCAGTTAAGAGATTATTTTTAAAATGAAGTGTGTTCTTTCCATCCCACTTACTACATGGTGCTGAAACACAGCCTGCTATTTTCATTCCTTATGGATGATCTCCTGTGAAATTACTTGTGCTTGTAAAAATGTGCTACATTCAGTTGTGTTTAATTAATGGATCGGTTGGTTATGAGGTGCACGTTGCCGTCTGAGTTTCTCGGTGACTGCTCTGACACAGTGGCCTGCCTGTCCCTCCTAGAAGTGCTAGAGAGCTGCGATTGGATACCTCGCAGCTGGAGCAGGAGAACAGAGACATGGAGGAGCGTCTGCAGGAGCTGCGGCAGGCCATGAGCTCTGAGAAGGAGGAGAGGAGGTGAGTGACAGCGGGGGGAGGCAGAGGAAGAAAGGAAGGACCCATAAAAGGAGACATGAGGGAGAAGACAGGATGAAAGGATGGAGAATGAGGTTTTGATGGGCCAAATATTTTGCTTTCACTCATCATCTTCTGTCAAGGCGCGTAATATGTTATTCTGTATTTTTTTACCTTTGGCAGCAGCACTTCCTGTTTATAGTGTCCTAGTTACTAGTCAAGGGTGACCTTCAGGCAGAGGGGATGGTAATCTTCAACTGGTTATGTGACTGAATTTACATTACACTACAGATTGGAAGAATCCGGGTTAGCAGACCTTCATCTGTGATATGTACATTAGTCATTTTCCCCCACAAATGAAGAATAATGCATTAAAGGAGGTAGATCGTTGTTTCTCAATACCAGCACGGCACAGGAGTTAATAACGCTCCTGTTCTTTATCACTGCTGTCACTTCATTAATGACATAAAGAATTTGCCCCTCTGACTGGCCATGTAAATTATGGAAGCATCCGGTGTCCTAATATATGGCCACATAACTCAGGAGAGGAGACCTCAGCTGTGAGATATGGCATGCTTCACGCCCAGCTGTGATGCATCGCCGTGGAAACCCTGCAGGAAGTAAAACACGCAGCTTCTGTGTTGACAGTGAAATTCACAGGTGACAGAATCCGTGTTTTGGCAGATAACAGGATGAAGAAGTACCTGGGAATTCTCCTTTGGCATTCCTTTTGTGCGGGGCTCGGATAACGGTGTCCAGATCCTGTAAGATGGATGCCCCTCCATGCTGTACTTCTAAAGAATGTGACATCACTGACTCCACCTTCCCCTTGCTGGTGCAGATCACTCTAACTTACTGATGCTGTATAGTTCATTAGTTTATGATTTTGTTCAATGTAGCATGAAACTTAGCAGTGCAGGGCTTAGATACTGACAATGGGGGCTGCAGAAAAGCTCCCCCCCCCCCCAACTATTAAACCTGCAGTACTGAGGTTATAGATCCACTATACCTTTCTATGTTATACCCTTTGTGTTGCTGATATTCTCGTCTTAGCACTGTCCTCTCTGGCCAGAACCACTCAGCCCTCTCCTGGCCAAAAACCCCAGACAGGCAGCTCACAGCCCAAGAGATGCTACTCCCGCCACCTTCCCAAAATATCTCTGGCCATTTTGGAGGTACAGTGCCCAGGGAGGCATGCGTGCGCGCGTGTGTTCGTGTGTAGGGGGTTTTATGTAAGCCAGACTAATCTGCAGTCCTCCTAGCCCCCCTGTTACAGTCAAAAAGCTCCATCCGACCATGACAGGTGGAGTCACTGTAATCGCTTTGAGCATGAGAACAGCGAGGCCCTAAAGAGTACCGCCCGGCGTAACGATAACAGACATGCTGAAATGAGGACGCCTTCTCCCATGTTTATTTCACCCGGCATATGAAATAGTCACCCAGGATTTTATTTTATGAATTACGCTGAAAGCTCTGCTAGTTGGGACTGTCTGTGTTTGTGACTGTGCATGTCTGTATGTCGCTGTGTTTGCTTTGCCCAAGTCACACATTGCCTTTTGAGCCAATTGCTGCTGCCATCTCATCAAAGGAGGGTGGATTGGGGGTGCTGTCTCACCCTTATTGGATGGCGTGGCTTCAGGGAACCTGCGATCGTGGGTTAGGTTGCTTTCTGTCACATCGTATCACGGTGGTCCTGTGTCTCCTCCCACAGGAAGCTGGGGGCGTACCACTGGAAGTCAGGCCAGGCCGGATCAATGGTGGCATCGGCACCGAGTCAGAGACTGGGCCCAAACAAGGGGAGTCCATCTCAGAAGGCAGGCCTGCGTGTGGCTTTTCACCTCACAGCTTCAGCTCTGTGCGCTGGCAGTGAAATCCATGGCTCTCCCAGTACAAACGGCACACACCCTGTAGTAGACACCACGTGATCCTCCCAGCACAGACACACTCGCATGCACCGGGTGTTGGACACATACAGCCCCCTGGGGAGCCAGATGTGCAGGAACCCTCCTTCCTCACATGGTTATTGTTTCATTTGTAGTAAAAGTCTACGGCTGTGCGTCTGCACATTTTACCTTCTGTCAATTTACATGTGTTCCCTTAATATTCTTTTTACAGATTTGTGTACTGTGTACTTATTAAATTCATTTGCACTCTGTGTACTGTTTGTGCTCTTTCTCTTGTTTTTCATTGCATGTTTATCTGCACTTCATGCACCTCGCTGCTGCGCACATCATAATTTCCCCCTTGGGATCAATAAGGTTCATCTTATGGTATCTTGCCTGATTTCTTACAGTTACCAGCAGGAAGGCTGAGGGTCACAGTTCTCAAAGATGAGCCGGAAGGTATGTGGTCAGGATGCTTGCCACGTGTTCCCTCTCTGCAATTTTCTCGCCTCTGATGGCGTCCCATCCTTAGCACCCCACCTGCGATCTGAACAGTCACCTTCAGGTCACACAGCTGGTTCTGATTCTCCACAGAGCTGCAGAGGACCCCGGCGATGAAGCCACAGCCACCACCTGGGAGTCTAACGTCCAACAGGGGGCCCAGGCTGAAGAGGAAAGCCTGTGGCCAGTGTGAGGCCCGTGCAGCCGGCCTGGTGCGTCTCCTGGCGTTAGCATGTTTCTGCTGGCTGGACCCCAAACTTAGCTGGTCTTGATTCTGGAAGGGAAAAGTAACAACATATCCCCCCGTCTCACTTCTGTCTCCTGGAAGACACAAGTCTTCCGTCTAGTAGATTGATTTGCCCTTTCAGAGTCATTCTGCCTATCTTTACCTGCTTGGATTCTCCAATTCCCTCCCAGAAGATGAAGCTTCTGTCAACACAACAAACACTTAGAACCACAGCAACCCTGTCTTACTCTTGGAACCACAGCGTTTCTGTGCTACATTTAGAACCACAGCGACCCTGCCTTACCTCAGCAGTCTCCCTCCATGTTAGAATGCCCAGTAACAAGCTCTAGAGTATTCCCATTATATGTCCTCAGTGGAGTGGAAAAGGACAGGATGGACCTCTTTCCCCATGCTAATTGGTGCACCTGCAGTCTCCCGCAGACTCCCTCCCCAGGGGAGCTTGGAGTGGCGGGGGAGTATGCGGGGGCCACATCACACACAAAAGCCTTGCTTTACACTGCTGCTTTCTGAACTTTATGTTCTGCAGTGTATTTGGGGCTAGGTTGGGTTCAGGCATTAGTGTGGGGGGGGCGGGGGTGTTGCCTGGGGATCCGCATGAATCCTGCTGGCCTGGGGGGGGGCTTCGCCAGCTGCAGGACGCATACAGCTCCATCTCGAGCGTGTCCGCATGCATCTCTGTGCCAGTCCATGAGCGTCTCACGCTGTCGGCTCACGTCGCCTCTACGCTCGTTTAGGAAATAATGAGCTCCCCGAAGATTGTTTTTTATCACAGTAATGCACGCTGTGCCACTTGTCGCATTTTACACTTATTTATAAGTTTATTCTGAAACTTAAGCACAGGCACAATGTGCAAACACTCATTTTCCACAGTTTTCCTTCCTCTGAATGTACATGTCCCAGGCATTATTATTAATTCATTTATATTTCTTTGCCTCACGAAGGTTTGCATGGAATGCGGAGAGGATTACTGCGTGGGCTGCTTTGCTAGGTTTCACCAGAAGGGGGCACTGAAACATCACAGAATGGTTCCCACCCAGGTATGACCACTGGTATGAAGGCTAACCGGTAGCCATGCGGGATCGACTCCCGCCCTCCTCTCCCTTCCCTTCACAACTCGACGTCACCGAGAGGAAGGTCAACAGTGCGGTGGCGATAGTGAGCCTCTCCTTCAGGGTCCAGCAGCACCACTCATTCAGATGCATTGACAGGAAGGCTTAGAGTAAGAATGAGGATATAGCAGAGAGTGGTGTGTTTCAGACCCAGTTTGGGGCCAGTGTGTGGCTTCCCCATCCCTGACCTTAACACAACCGCAGTATGAGTGGTCACCCGCCTGTATTCACCAATGACAGCACTGACCACGCGTGCAAAAATCAGTGCATTGTGGCTGCATTGTAGCCATCCCTTGTTCTGCACGCTGCTCAGTGGCTGACCTGGTCTGTAGTGGAGTAGCAGAGTGCATTGCTTTACAAGAGCGGGTACCTAAAAATGACAATGTCGACCGAACAGAGAAGCGTTTGAGACAGGAGGAGGCCGGAAGCCCCTGGGATCTTCACAGGGACATGCGTGCTTGGTAGGGGGATTAAACCCTCTGGCTTCTCCACCCTTGTAATCCTGTTTGGTTTGCAAAAATATAAATCTAATCAGCACCGTACTTGCACGTCTACATCCCAGGGTGCCTGTACTCTGGGCCGCACTGCTCTGATGTGAGAAACTCCCACATGTTATTCTGCCAACTGCTTCCTGTTGACCATGCGGCGTAGCACAATAGCATAATGGTACAATACCATAATAGCACAATGGGCGTGATCACAGTATTAATGGTGTGCATGCCACTCAGGAAATGATGCAAAAATGATGAAAGCGAATCGTTTTAATTGCATGCGGGCACAAAGAGTAGCGTTTGAATCTGTAATGAACCGGACATGACCGGAATGACCGTGAGGGATGGCTCGTGCTGGATATCGGTGCCTCTCCTTCTGTTACTGTACCTCCTGTGTTCATTTGATGGCTGAGTCCTCAGGGTGACATCCCGCTACGCATGGACACTAATGACGTCTCTGGCGGCCTGGGATCGACTGGCTTCCAGCTTATGGCCGGCAAGAGCCGCCTTTTTCTGGCAGGGCATGAAAGCACAGAGAGCGGGGCAGGATCACACACAGACCGCGGGCGGGGCCTCAGCCGGCAGCGGGTTCCGTACAGATCCAGCAGGCCGCTAATTCCGCCTGGTGTGCCATGCATTAGTAGCGCCGTAAAAGCTCTGATTTCTCCCTGGCAGATCAGCAAAGGATGTCCTCTTCAGTGGGACACAGACCTGATGTGCTGGCTGGGGGTGGCCACATTCGTAGTGCCATCAGCTGTGTGTGTGTATGTGTGGCTGCCTGCGTGTGATTATCCTGCGCCATCATTCAGTCAGCTGTTAAACGGGATGTTGAAGGGTTTAGGGTTTAGGGCGCTGTCTTCACCGGTCACCTTATGAAATCATTCATGCTCTGCTTCTAACCCAGTCGTCGGGGGCCCCCAGACAGTCTACGTTTTTGCTCCCTCCCAGCTCCCAGTTCACCTGTACCAAACAAGAACGAACCGAACAATCAAGAACACCGAATACCTGGTACAGCAGAAATTTACACTGTCTGGGGGTCCCTGGGGGCTGGGTAGAGAAACACTGCTCTAAATTAAACATGGATTATTTTCATTTGTTCATGCTAATGTATAAATAAGCCTGACATATGTCTGGTATGAATTGTTTAGTCTTCTGGCATTTTTTCTTTCTCTTCTCTTCCTACATGCACTATTTTGCATAAATGATGTAGTATTGAACTGCCACACACTCTTGTCAAGTGCCTGGGGGTGACTGCTGTAAAAGGCGCTATATAAAATTTAATTGAATCGTTTTGCATACATTCCAGGCATTGCCATGTCAGGTAATGTATTGAAGATGTGGCTTAAAGAGCATGTTTAATATTTCCAGTATAGCTCCCTCTGTGCGCTGCCTCTGACCTGTGTGTTTGTATTCCATATGATTTCCAGCACACAGCTCTAACAGTTTGGACACATTAGCCACCTGTTTGTTCTGCAGGATTTCCCCGCACGGGTAGAGCTTCTGTTCTCCTGCAGCTTGTTATTTGCCGATGTGTTTCTGAAAGGTCTCTGATCGCACGCGGTGGCATCTTTAATTCATGACTGTGGCCGGCCGACCCGCAGATGGAGATGCACACCTCCATCAGCACACTGGACGTCGTCAGCCGCTTCAGCAGACAAATTGATCCCGACGAGCCAGCTGTGGAGGGGGGTGTGTCAGGAGCCGGGGGGGCCAGAAAAGGAGCCGCGACTGTGGATCACCAGCATGCCCAGGTGACACTGGGGAAGTGACACAGGAGGCGTTATGTGGGGATGTGACACAAGAGGGGTGATATGGGGATGACAAGGGGGTGACACAGGAGAGTGACATGGAGGAGTGCCATGGGGGAATGACACTGTGGAATGTAGACACCATCAGCAGCAGATTTATATCCCATAAACACCATAATTTCCTATATGTACCTTAGACTGAGACTGTAATTCAAAGTAAGGACGACGATGAAGAAGACGAGGAAGAACAGCACGGCGCCCCAATTGGGGCAGACCCAACGGGGTGGAACAAGTCCCGGTGGGGTGGAGCATTCGATGAGGAGGAGTCATCCAGGTCCTTCCAGGAGGCACTGCGGGAATGGAGGTGGGAGAGAGGGGAGGCAAAGCAGGGACAGGAGCGAACATGGAGGCCCAGGGAAGCTTTGCCAGGTAACTGCTCTGTGAATTTGGACTAGGGGGTCTGTCTGGAGGCACTGTGGATGTGGGTGTGGCTGATTATGGTATGGGGGGTGCAGGTATAGCTGACTTTTTGGGGTGTGGCTGGTTATGGTATGGGGGTGCAGGTGTAGCTGACTTGGTTGGGGTGTGGCTGGTTATGGTATGGGGGGTGCAGGTGTAGCTGACTTGGTTGGGGTGTGGCTGGTTATGGTGTGGGGGGTTAGGGTGTAACTGACTTGGTTGGGGTGTGGCTGGGGTATGGTATGGGGTGGGGTGTAGCTTTAGTAGGACTGTAGTAGCTGTTGGAGGAGGGGGTGGTATAGAGTGCACTGTGAGTTTTTGCCCGGAAACATGAATAAGTAATGGAGAATTTGTGCCCAGAAGTGTCCTCCTGATTTTATCACCATTTTCCCTGTTTGGGATAAAATCAGGTTGTCAGGCTGAGTTGGAGCTCATTTACTTAAAGTGAATGCTGCAGTATTTGGGGACGTGACCTCACAGGGTCGGCGACCCGCGCACAGCCTTCTCATCGCTGGCATCTCTCCTGTTGCGCCCATTTGTTCACTCTGGTGCCTCAGGGCTGCATCAGACGATCTGCTGGTGCAGTGTCTGTGAGCTTTGTGAGGGTCTGCCGTGTTCCTGGTCTTTGGATGGCCTGAGGAGGCCTGTCTGCCCTCAGCCATAATATCCCCTCCGTTAATGAAAACCAGCTCTTGGCCTTTAGGGTTGTCACCAGATTAAATACCAAACTGTGCTTCCAAAAAGGGTAAGTGGGATCTAGGACATGTCATTGTGGGATATGAGCTGGATTTGTGGAAATGTATGGTACATTTCATACTGGCACTGCTTATGGTGACAGAGCAAGCGGGTTTGAGACTGTCAGGTGTGAGTTTTAAGTGACATGGGGTACTGCTGTTGTACCTTTGAGCCGGGGTATAATCTGGGACCTGCTATGTGAAAGTGCACAGCCACTGTTTGTGGATTATTTTTTGAAACATTTTGACTGCTAAGCAATTTCTCAGCTAATTGACAGGTCTGACTCTCCCCCCTTGCAGTGACTAAAGAAGCTACCAGAATCCAGGCCGACCTTTTTGTTCCAAGGACCCCTGTCCGAGTGGAGTTCAAGCATGATGGCCTGAGTTATATGGAGAAGCTGCTGGTGAAGATGTACCGTAGGTGAGAGGGCTGCGTGTGCGAGTGTATGAGGGTGTATGAGGGTGTATGAGGGTGTATGAGGGTGTATGAGGGTGTTTGAGGGTGTATGAGGGTGTATGAGTGTGTATGAGTGTGTATGAGGGTGTATGAGGGTGTTTGAGGGTGTATGAGGGTGTATGAGGGTGTATGAGTGTGTATGAGGGTGTATGAGGGTGTATGAGGGTGTATGAGTGTTTACGAGCCGGCCTGTTTATGACTGTTGACATGGTGCCAGTACTAAACTTTTACTGCTGGCTGATTGTAGCGTGTAATGCGCTTGCACATTTCATTTTAATTATGCACAAACCGGCACTGAAGAGTGTACCCTTAGAGCCGTAAGTAAGCGTGACAAGGAGAAAGTTTCGGCTAGCACAATAATAAGAATCATCCCTGTGAGGCGCTGGGCCGTGGCAGGCGGGGGCAGCGTGGCAGGCGGGGGCAGCGTGGCAGGCGGGGGCAGCGTGGCAGGCGGGGGCAGCGTGGCAGGCCGGGACGCTGTGGTGGGCTGGGGACGCCGTTACCGTCTGCCATGCTCGTTGGCCCATCACGGGCAGGGGAGCGTGAATTTTAAACCGTTTAAATGTGCCGTTCTGTGGGAAGCAGTGCGGTGCTCTGTTTCTAATCAGGCTCTGGTTCCAGAGAGGGGGGAGCGGCCCAGATCCAGCTGGCGGAGGCAGGGCGAGGGGAGGGTTGGTCAGCATGTCCGATTCTGTGCAGAGGGTGGAGCTGCGTATGACGGAGTGTTATGGTGTGCTTATGCTCTTAAACATCACTGTGGTTTAATGTTTTACTGCAGTTCAGGCCTCAGAACCTTCTGGAAAGTATTACAGAAAGGCCCCCCTTGGAACCTGAGTTGGCAGTGCCCGCAGGTGACTAGTCTGAGCTTGGCACTCAGAAATAATCTTTTTAGAGGATGTACCCTTATAGCAGTTGGGGGCACGTCTTGGAGGGTGCAGTGACCTCATTAATCCTCCTGACGAGATCAGAGATTGGTCCGTACCTGAGCCTCACAGGTAGGAGGCTGCTCTGACTCCTGCTCTGACTCCTCGGCCAGCGACACCTATTGCCCCATTCCGCGTCCTCGGGAGATGGCATCACGTCGATATCATGGCGCGGTCAATTTCGGTGATGCCCTCCTTCGGGGTCCGGGCCCTACCCACAAACAGCAGCGATGTGATGTAGCTTAAGCTCAATGTGGGAAGATGACAGGTCTGAAACTGACCTTATTTTGTGGTGGTGGGGGGGGGTTTCAGAATGCCGATTAAGGACCACTGGCCACGGCCGTCTGTCTGCTCCCGTCCGAATTCTGTGATGGATTTGAGCCAGCTGACAGATGAGGACCCCCCTTGTCTGATGGATGAGGACCCCCCCAGTCTGACAGGTTCATGCTGTTTCTCACTAAGGCCCCCACAGCCATTGACTCCCCATCTGTGTGGAGATGGTCATCTTTGTGGGACTGGGATCCATCACGCCACGACATGGCTGGGGGGCAGACAGGGGTTTGGGGGATAGTGTGGGACTAATACCCTTACCCTCTTCCAGCTAAAATAATCACTGTCAGGGAGTGTGTGTCTTCTGTGGGTCTGTGTCACGTCAGTGTCTATTTAGTGTGTGTATGATATCAGTGTCTGATTACTGCTATCACACTGTGTGTGTGTTACCTGTGTCAGTATTTGTGTGTACAGTATCAGTGTGTGTGTATTATTTATGTCAGTATTTGATAAGTGTGTGTTTCAGCGTTACTGTTTGTACAGTATCAATGTAGGCATGGTACCAGCGTATCTATGTGTTATCAGTGTTAGTATCTGATTAGTGTGTGTATCATTGTTAGTGTGTGTACAGTGTTTACAGTATCAGTATAAGTGTGTGTACAGTATTAGTGTGTGTTTACAATATGAATATCAGTATGTTTTTACAGTATCGGTGTGTGTTTACAGTATTAGTTTCAGTGTGTGTACAGTAGCAGTATAAGTGTGGGTGCAGTATCAGTATGTTTACAGTATCAGTATAGTATCAGTGTGTGTACTATATCAGCACGTGTTTACAGTATCAGTATAGTATCAGTGTGTGTACTATATCAGCACGTNATAGTATCAGTGTGTGTACTATATCAGCACGTGTTTACAGTATCAGTATAGTATCAGTGTGTGTACTATATCAGCACGTGTTTACAGTATCAGTACCAGTATGTGTACATGTAGTATCAGTATGTTGACAGTATCAGTATAAGTGTGTGTACTGTATCAGCGCATGTTTACAGTATCAGTATAAGTGTGTGTACTGTATCAGCGCATGTTTACAGTATCAGTATCGGTATGTGTACATGTAGCATCAGTATGTTTACAGTATCAGTATGAGTGTGCACTATATATATGGTCTAACGTCTGATACACCCATGTCTCTTGCCGCAGCTGCTGAGATGGAGCTGAAGCATTACTGTGCCTCGCTCTTCACTGTCTGTGATCCTGGAAGCTCTGATAATCTTGACTGTCCAGCTTCATCCAGCGCAAGCATTGTGGAGCGGGAGATGCAGAGTGTGAGTGTGATCCCTCCGGACAGGAGCTCTGCATGCTCCACCCGCTTATGAGGCAGGTCTGCCCTGTCTCTGAGGCACTGCCCTGCCCCGCCCCACCGGTTGGTCCCTGCTGTCCTCTCACTGTGATATAAGCAGTGCTTGTTGTATTTTTCTGCAGACGGTTGGGAACTGTACAGCCACCGACACATTTCCTGCTGAATGGGGAGTCGGCAGTGCAGGGTAAGAGATGAATAGCGCAGAGTATCTGAGACACGTCATTTTCCTTTGGGTGCCATGCTGTCCCCTGTCATGAGCATATGTTTATATCCATCCATCCATCCATTGTCCAACCCGCTTATCCTACTGGGTCACGGGGGGTCCGGAGCCTATCCCGGAAGCAACGGGCACGAGGCAGGGAACAACCCTGGATGGGGGGCCAGCCCATCGCAGGGCACACTCACACACCATTCACTCACACATGCACACCTAAGGGCAATTTAGCAACTCCAATCAGCCTCAGCATGTCTTTGGACTGTGGGGGGAAACCAGAGTACCCGGAGGAAACCCCACGACGACACGGGGAGAACATGCAAACTCCACACACATGTGACCCAAGCGGAGACTTGAACCCAGGTCCCAGAGGTGTGAGGCCATATGTTTATAAAATATGAAAATATGTTACAAAAAATTTGAGTATGAATATGAGTATGAATATGAGTATGAGTATGAATATGCATCCCCCTTTCTCCTCAAAGTGTGAATGAAGCTGAAGAGCTGGAAACTGCTTCTCAAACCACAAGAGTCACCAAAGTGCAGCTGGACATGTCTGATTCACCACAATTGACCCCACAAGCAGAGGACTCATCTTTCAAGATCCGATTGACGTGGACTGCAGAATCTGACCTGTCCACAAGCACGCAGTCGCTTGAGTCTCTAGAATCTGATCCGCTTTGCAAGATGCAAATGACCTGCTCATCAGAACTTCAGTTTTCTTCCAGAATCCAGATATGTGAGTCACCAGGACCTCCCTTGTCATACAGAACTCAAATTCCCAATTCACCAGAACCTCATATACATAGAACCCATGAAACACAGTTGGAAGGTCATCTGTCAACCCAAACCCAAATACTTCAGTCACTAGAACCACATCAGTCTTTAGGTACCCAAATTCACCAATCACCAGAACCTGATATACCCTCCAGAACTCCAGTGCTTATGTCACCAGAAACTGATATACCCTCCAGAAGTCCACTGCTTAAGTCACCAGAAGCTGATATACCCTCTAGAACTCCAGTGCTTAAGTCACCAGAACCTGATATACCCTCTAGAACTCCAGTGCTTAAGTCACCAGAAGCTGATATACCCTCCAGAACTCCAGTGCGTAAGTCACTAGAACCTGATATACCCTACAGAACTCCTGTGCTTATGTCACCAGAAGCTGATATACCCTCTAGAATTCCTGTGCTTATGTCACCAGAAGCTGATATACCCTCTAGAATTCCACTACTTAAGTCACCAGAAGCTGATATACCCTCTAGAATTCCAGTGCGTAAGTCACTAGAACCTGATATACCCTCCAGAACTCCAGAACCCCCAAGAACTCAATTTCCCCATTCATCAGACCTTGGGTTACCTTCTCAGACACCAATACCACAGGCAAGAGAACTTGTTCAGAGCTATAACTTCACAGGGCTGCAGTCCCCACAAGCTGGTCTGGCATCAACAAAGAGACTGCATTCCTCCTTAAAATCCTGTGCTCCTCCCATGGACCCATCTTCAGCTAGAACATTGCAGCCTACCCCTCCTCTGACTCCCTCGCCACATCCTCGTCTGTTCAAGCGGCTGATGTCAACTCGCTCTCTGCCTTCGTCGCCAAGACCCCCTTCCGGATGGACCCCCCTGCCACAGAGACCTTTCTCAGGTGATCTTTTTATAGTGATCAGGGGAATGAAGCATGTTGATGATAGGGCGGCAGTTAACTACAAGGTTAGAGCAGAAGCTGTCCTCATTGTAACACCTGCTCAATGAAAGTGTGCTTCCCAGTCTGAAATTCTATTAGAGGAGTTTGATAGTGGCAGTAATGCTGGCGCTGGTCTTGCTCCTCTGTCACAGCTAATTCAGCCATGGCAATAAAACGGCTTATCGATTACAGTTTTAAGTAAATACACAAGGTAATGACATGTGACGCATGGTGGTAATTCCGCGTTGAGGAATGGCCCATCGCCACCCCAGTGGCCGTAATCAGGGATGCTGCTGACGTTTCTTGTCCTGATTGCCGTGCCAAATACCACAGAATCGGCAGGCTGCTCCGGCGAGAACATTTGCAGCTCAATAGCATATTATGCGCCGCCTTGGACAACAGAACGAAATGCTGAAGGGTACCAGTAAGGCATCATTAATGCATGGGAGGGGGGGGGGGGGATGTGGCAGCTTTAGGTTTTACCTGCTTATTTACTGCCTGCTTAGCCTCACTGTGTAAACGAAGTCCAGCTTTAAACACACCACCCTAAGCTCTCTATCAACAACTCCCCCATATGAAAGAGGCAGGGATGCGACTTGCTCAGATCCCAACCTGGGCACCCATCCCCAGATCTAAGCATTATTATTCAGGAGCCCAGCTGCCCACTCCAGACCCTCATCTGGATTGTAGGACAAGGTTTCCAGCTGAGCTCTTACATTATTCAATAGGAGCAGTTGGTTGAGGGCTTGAAATATTTTCATGTTTCAGCAGTTCTTCTGTGAATTGCTAAAGCATAGGAAGGCTTAGGTTATTAGGTTAGGTGAGTGTGCGTCGCATATGACCATAGAAAGATAATATAGGCAATTTTCATAGCACAAATGTATGTTTAATGCTTTAATCTTTTTTTTTTTAACTTTAAGTAATATTAATCATCCAACAAGCTCTATTTCTGCTCTTCCTTTCCTACGTTATATAGCCCAGGCATCTGGCTTCTGTCCCAAACCACTGCTGTGCTGTGATCACAGAAATAACCCCAAAGATGACCCTGCAGACGACCCTGCAGAAGATTCTACTGATGACCCCATGGATGACCTAGTAGATGATCTTGCATATCACTCAACAGACAACCTCGGGGATGACCTCGCAGCTGCCTTTGTAGATAACCCCAAAGATGACTTTGCAGAAGATCCTGTCGACAATCCCACAGAGAAATACACAGATGACCTAGTGGATCACCTCACAGATTATCTCACCGGTGACCCGGCTGAGAACTACATGGATGATCTTGTGAATAATTCTGAAAATGGCTACCCAGGTGACAAAGTCGGCGGTTTTGGACACGTCTCTGATCCACCCATGAGCGATTCTGGTCCAGCTCATGCCCCTTTCCCAGAAGGCCGGTCGGATGCAAGACCTGGTGTGCCCGACTCATTCACGGTACCGCCCTCCTACCTGCCACTGCCCAAGTCTGCATGCATCCAGCCCATTGTACATGATTTCAGATTTCATTTATTAGACACACTTGGGGTTTTCTCCATTTGCTCCTGTTTCCTCTTGCAGGAATGGTAGATTGGTGTCTTTAAGGTGTCTTTAAAGGAAAGTGGGTGGATATATTAATAAGGACAGTACCATGGTCAAAATGTGATTGAGTTTGTAGCTCTGGTGTTGTATCTGAGTGACCACAGGAGTTCACCCAGCACCTATTCCCATGACACTGTCCTGGAATGTTATCTCATGTCCAGTCTTGTGTGTCCACCAGCTAGGACAGCTAAGTTTTGTATACATATGTTAAATGGACATCAAGAAGTGGGTAAAACTACAGGAGTTGATGAAAGAGTTTGAATTGGGGGGACCTTGTTCTATATTCACCTTATGAATTAGTTACTGCTTCCCATTCTTTCTGCTGTCTCTCTGACACCACATGAGTGAGTGAAGTCGGACAAGCCAGCAATCACCCACAAACAGTTAATCGCTATATTAGAGAGCATATCGGTTTTCTATACAGAATGCCTAAATAATTTCCTCTTGTATTTAATGCAGTACAGTTCTGATGGGCTTGAAATTGCAAACACAAGGGATAATATACTGCACAGTGAATTTCCCAATGACGCCTGTGAAAGTTCATTAGTAGAGGAAAGTTCATTAAGCGCTGAGAACATCTGACTCACTGTGACCTCGAGGTCAGGGGCTCATACCACTGCTGTCCTGAAGGTGCAATTATCCGTTGTTCTCGCCGGATGCAACACTGGCCATATGTGGGCATGTATTAATTTTGATGGGAACATTTATGTTGCCTTAACATCAAAGTACAAAGTCTACAGCTGTGTCACACTACTTCACCTGCCTCTTATATTTTGGCCTGTGTGGAGAATAGACTAAAAGGTCACTACAAGATCTTTAGCGAGATACTGCTGTTGTACCTTGAGCATGGTACGAGCGTACGTGACCTGGCTGTAGCCGTGTGTGTTGAGGTGTCGGTGAAATGTTGGTGTGGGGTATGACTGTGCAACTTTCATATGTCAAAGGTCTGGTGGAGTTTTTCCCAGGGAGAGCAGACCCAGCTGGAGACAGTAGGACATGGTGGTGGGTCTGAAGAGGACAGAGAGACTAATGCCAATCTGGAAGTGCTCGATGCAGGTGGAGTTTGTTTGTATATATACAGATGTAGTCTGTGTTCGTATGGCCTGGTGGTCTGTTTGGCAGTATAAATAGCTGTGACTTCTACTCTAGAGTGTTTGTATTTCCTCTCAATGCTGAAATGTCACCTTGCTTCTTCCTGTCTCATCTTTTTGTCCTGGGTTTCCACCCTCCTACATAGTATCATCATTTCTTGTATCTCATGTCCATAACTGCACTGAAGAGTCACTGTCTGATTATGTGTTTGTGTTTTATATTGAAAGACACAACCCTTTATATTATTTGCAGCTACTGTTTATATGTCATTTTTAACAGAATGTTTTTCTTTTTAATCCAAAGTTACGGACACGTTACAGTATTGCACAAATTGTCTAAGTAAGTTAACCCTCCCATGGGTCCAACAGCTTTTTTCCTCTCTGACCTTTACACACTCACAGTTTCGTCTGAATGCCTTTTCTCAAGACCAGAGGCCCTCGGGGCCAGCAGCTACCATGACTTCGGCTGCCAGCCAATCAGCAGTCTCCTCAGGGCTGCAGCTCCATCTCTGTGTGGTAGGAGGGCGCTGTTCTCCTGCCTCTTATGCTTGTGGAGTTGCTCATGAGTAAAGTAGCTGGAAATATGAGGTTCTGTCACACTGTAATGGCTTCCTCACTCATCTGTTCTCAGCTGACATTGACATCCCTGTGAGGTCTGCATCTGTAATATGAGCCTCCCCCCCCCCGCAAAAGAGTTACATTTTGCTGTCATTCTCTCTCTCTCTCTCTGCCACCTCTGGCGAAGATGGTACAAAGACTCGTCGACCCTTAATGAAGACGCATAGGCATGTTAATATTTGGAACAGGAAGCTTGCCCTAATGCATTTTTAGTGTGCTTAAACAGGCACTAACACAGTGCTCAGTCAGCCGTCTGAGATACACTGTTACTCATTTTCCTAAAGCAGTCACGGCAATAATGTGTAAAAATAAACAAGTGGGGGAAAAATAATCTTAGGAAATAAGAGAGATTCTGATTTATGAGTCGGAGGATAGCCACCCCCCCTCCCCTTGGATTCCTCGCCATCTTGTACACGGGTTATGTAACACTGGACCATTTCCTCTTCCTCATCTGCACGCCCCAGCTGAATTAGCACATGTTCAATCACTGGCACTCCTGTCACTCATGGTGCCCCCCTGCTTTTGACTCTCCCGTCTGGTGAGGCAAATAGCTTTTAAATTGGTTTTGATATCAGATAGGAGATTACACCTGATTCATTATGACTCTCTCCCAATGGCCTGACAGGCAGTGCTGCACGTTCAGGTACGCCTCCGCTATGATGGGGGCAGCGATGAAAGCTCTCAGAACCGCTTTGTGCATCAGCCCGTTACTGACGGTTCGCACGCAGCTGAAGCACAGGTTGAATTAGCTGAAAAAACCAGGAATGCGACTGGAGAACTTCCGGAGAAGAGCCTGGTTCTGTATAAAGGCCAGGAATGTCCTGTTTACTATTAGACTAGCAGTGGTGTGCAGAGGGCTCTGCATCTCTGCAAAAAGCAGCATCAGGTGGCCGAGTGACGGGGCCCGGCTTCCATGGAAAGCGTGTTGGTGTGAGTAGCGCTGCGAGGCCCCGTTAGTACGTGAAGCGGCTCGAGACGCCCGATCAGGGAAAGGCGGCCCTGTAATCTGTGACGAGCAGATGGAATCTCTCCTCTCATTTCACTCAATCTCATCTGGCGCACTGTGTCCCCACTTAGAGGCAAATGATTTTACAGGCACACACTAATACATGGTGAGTGGATTCACTGAGTCGTCCTCCCTTCAGCTGTCTCTCCATTCTCCTCTGCCTTCCTTATGGCTTCTCTTCTTTTCTTCCCTCTCTGCTTTACACAATTTCCTATCCCCCTGTCTCTCCTCCCTCCCTCTTTCTCTCCCTCCCTCTTTCCCCTTCTCATCCATCTCCTCCTGCTCCATATAGGATCTGACTCCAGCTTGTGGTCTGGCCAAGGTGCCCCAAGGTCTCCATCTCGGGCCCCATCGGTGTCCCGGCCTCTGTCCCAGGCAGCTTGGGAGATCCAGGAGATCCAGAGCGTCGACTGCACAGAGAGCGACGACCCCCTCCTGGAGCAGACCACAGCCTGCCAGGCCCTGGACCTTCTGGATGAGGAGCTCCGTGGCCTGAGCAGAGAGCCAGGTGGGGCGTCTAGTCTCACCTCTTACCTAATTATTACCGAACTCATGGGACACAGGGGGGCATGGGGGTTCCTGTCCACATACATCCCCTGTGATGTCAGTGGTGAGCCCCCACCCTACTGAAGGGGGAAGGTAATGTGTTTCACAGAGAGGCTGTGGGTTTGCACACAGCATGATCGCCTCCTGCTGGCCGTAAGCGGAGCCCACACTGTGGGTAATAAGCCTGGGTTTGAGGGCGTCTGCTGGCTTCAGCCACAAAGCAGTTCGATATTGTCGATGATGGTGTTACAGCGATGCCTCTGGCTCTCCCTGGGTCTTTCAGGTGACAATGCCAGCGGGAGCCCATGTGACCTACGGCCCTCGGCTCCGCCCACCACCCCACTAATGGCTGCGGGCAGTGACACGGGCTCTGTGTGGGTATCCTTAATGAGGGTTTGTTAGGGGCCTGCCTGCCTGACCTAATGCGTGTGTGCATATGTGTGTGCGTGTGTGTGCTTGCGCATGTGTTTGGTGGCCTGCGGTCATGTGAGCAATGGCTGCTGCTGCTGGGGTCCTGACTGATTCCTCATACATACATGCATTATGTCAGAGGAGCAGCACACCATCCTCAAGCAATCGGCACGTTCACATGCGACACCAGGGAGTTATGGGGGACCGCCCCCCCACCCCACCCAGCCAACCCATGTGACGCTTCTGAAAATGAACTTCAGCTCCTCTGATGTTTCATTCATGCAGCTCAGCCATGTTGCCGGCAGCGTCGCTGACTTCCCTCGCCTGCTTCATCCTGCAGGTGGGAGGACGATGAAGGGGACATGGGTGAGGAAGAGGATGAGGATAAGGAACAGGAGGCTTGCAGGGACAGGCAGTCAGTCGCCTCCCTGCCCTGAGATCCAAGCATGCAAAGTAACTGCATCCTGTGTGTGTAAACATTAAAATACACGGATTCAGAATTCTAATTCTGATTCATAATGACCTTTAATTGCACAACTGGGAATTTCACATAAATAAACGAGCCAAAAAGGAACCAACCATTGATTATAAATAGTAATGCGTTATGCTGCTAAGCCTTACAAAGCCGACACAGAATGTGATTTACATTAAAGTAAAGCCACTCCCCCGTATCGATGATTTTTAATTTCCTGTCTTTATTTACATTGTCAGGCTTGCCATTATCCACCCGGTTCACATATTACAGCCCCCAGCAGTTGTCACAGTAACAGAGTAAAATACTTGGCTCATCAATAATAAACTGCTTTATAAAATACCGCAGTCAGAAAATCAGTTCCAAAGGGGTGGACTGGCCATTCTGTGTACGCCGGCTGGAGTGAGGCACAGATCCCCCCCCCCAGGAAAGCCCACTGCTTGGGGGTGTCCTCGTGTCCCTGAGCCTGTCAGATCACTGTGAATCTCTCCTCCCGCGTTATTGCATCCTGCTAACTTTCATTTACATAGTTAGATGATTGCTAACTGAACTCTGGCAGTGCGAATGTTCTGCATTTCAATTCCAGTTCATAAAGCACTGTGCTGCCTCTGGAATGCATGTCCTGGTGATCCCACATGTCCTGGTGCTCAATCCTTCAGGATAACAGCCCATCTCGGGCCTTCCACTTGGGAGAACGCCGACCCTTGTTTGTTATTGGGGAAGCTCAGCTTTTCCACCATGTTTATGTGACACGGAAGAGCGGCTCAAGTGATCAGCATCCGTTTTCTTCCCCTCCGCTCCTTGCTGCCCCAAGCCGACAGCTGCCACTGCAGCCAGATGAGATATTCAGATTTGCTGCTTTGCATGCTAGCTGCAGGAACTGTGGCTGTGGGTGGAATGAGATGCCATTTTGGCCATTTTCGCTTGGAAAAGGAAAACTAACTATGCTCACACTTGGCTTGTCAGTGGATTGGCTTATTATTGCAGGACCAGCAGACCACAGCAGCCAGATGAAATTGTAAAATAAGAGGAATAATTTTTTCATTGTTGCCGGTTCAACAGTAGACAGCTGCCATGTTAGTGTGTTTATGTAGTGCAGCCTTCTTGGTTCAGCACTGGACAGCTCCTGCATTAGTGTAATGATGTAGTACAGCCTCCCCAGTCATTTTAGTGTGTCCATGTAGTACAGCCTCTCTGGTTCAGCATTGGACAGCTCCCACGTGTAATAATGTAGTACAGCCTCCTTGGTTCAGCACTGAACAGCTCCCTTATTAGTATGTTGATGTAGTACAGCCTCCTCAGTAATGTTAGTGTGTTGATGTCGCATATCCTCCCCAGTTCAGTGCTCATCTGCTCCCACATTAGAGTGTTGCTGTCTAGTGCAGAGTCCCCCGGTGCATCATCTTGGGCGGTGTGTGGCTGCAGGTTAGGGCCAAGTGTCCGTGATCGGAAGGTCGCCGGTTTCATTGCCGTGGTTGGCAGTGTAATGATATCACCCCTGAGCCCTTGGGCAAGGCCCTTATCCCTGAAAAATGCTTCAGGGGCTGCAGATAAGTGGCTGACCCAGCGCTCTGACTACAAGTTTCACTCTCACCTGTCTGTATGTGTGTGTGTCTCAGGGGAAAACCCACTGGGAAGAGCAATAACTGAAGAACTTGTGTTTGTACAATAGTAAATTTTGTTTACCAGGACAATAGTTTTGGTGGTAAAAAAAACTTTGGGAATCTTAGCAGTTGGTTTACCATTCCCCGAAAAACGCAAAAGCCTGCTCACTCCCTTCATTTACATCGCTGCATATTTCGGAGATTTTTAAGCATATGTAAAGTCACGAACATGCAGCTGCAGTAATTAACATGCAGACAAAGACAGCGGCTTCATTCCCTGCCCAGTCATAAAAATACACTCATTTAAACACGTGAAACGTGTCCCTAATAATCCACCATTCTTTCTAAACATACATTTACTCTAGAATAAAAAAGAATGGGTTATAGATATTTGTGTTTCAGAGTAACATGTTAATGACCAATTTTATCTTATCATTATTTGTTTTATATCACAGAAATGACGTCTTTCTCATTTGAGTATGATAGAAAAATAATCAAACCAAATTAATATAATTTTAATGTATCAGTACCAGAATGTGTAATGGGAAATATTTCAATATGTAAAAACCAACTGAGGTGCAAATTAAACTTTGGGCCAGTTCTTATTGTAAACGTTATGTAGATGTTTATATTATGTGAGCATGCTGTTACGCCCCAACCCCAGACTGGGGCTCGTAACAGAAATGCAGAACATGCATGCAGAAACCATCCATCCATCCATTATCTAACGCTGCATGCAGAATCCTGTGTGGGAAAAGCTTCGCGATTCTCTGATGTCATCACAGTTTCTTTCCTAATTATGTTAACTCAACCTTGCTGTGCTTGGTAGCATAATTATTCATATATAATATGCATTTTGTCGCCCAGAAGGTGATGAATTATGTTCACTGAGCTGCAATAGGGATGATAAACATATATCTCTGTCTGCTCGCTGTCTTTCTCTTCTCCTGCTCAAAACTTAATCCATCATCCCTGGGATGGGACGGTAGGCTGGAGGCATATGGGCGCGTCTACACGCATATGTCATGGGCTGTGTGGGGGCCTTTCTGCGTGCCTCCACACGCACGTGTCAGCGGCCGTCACACGCCTCAGTCCTTGCTGTGCGGACATAATGCTGCACTTGTGGAAAAAAAAGGTTAATCTTGTTCAGATGCAGTAAAATCCCTGTAATCCCAAAGCAATCAGAAAGCGCCTGATTGAAAAGGGAGTGAGAGAGAATGAGAGAGAGAGACCAAAGGCCTTTGTTTTTCACTTGGGTGAGGAATTTATTCATTGGTAAAAAATAAGAATTATAAAATGAAGCAAAATGCTTGTAATCTGAACAATGCTGTAATGTTAAGGAGACTGCGGTGTTAATGAGAGACGTAACCTTAAGAAATGTGTTATGTATAAACTGTTGGCCTGTTTACATAAAGCTGAGGAACAGGGGACCTTCAATCTCATTAAGCCATGCTGGACTGGGAAGAGGCTCACGGCTGAGCTCCCAGTCTGCCCAGCTGCGTGTCCATCCTGCAGGCTGGGGCTTTCGCTGGGTGGGCTGAATGGTTTGAAGTTGTGCGGCTGTGGGGGGGGGGGGGGGGGGGGTAGTGGAGCCTCCATTATAGATTTTCACTGTTGAAGAATCTCCTGCAGTGTGCCAGAGTGGCCCAGGATAATTAAAACCATCTGGGTGGAAGAAGAGATCTGGTAGCAAAGGCTTCCATTTAAAATCCGGCCACCAAGGTGAGCAAAGACTTTACATTAATAATGTGCAGAAACAGGAGAATTTATTCACACAATGCAAAGCTCTTTTCTGGAAAAAGGGGGTGATTCATACATGTGATTGGTTGTTTCGTGGCTCTGTTTTATGTCATAGCATTAAATGGACCGGAAACGAAACATGGGATACAGAAAAGAACCCCCAGAACTACCATGCTGTTGTATGACACACTCATCATGGCCTCACTGGCCGTCTGCCTGCCTCTTGTTAGAGTAGAATGGACATCACACCTCTCTGAGGATGTTACCACACCACTGCAGTCTTTATCATCGCACAAACACGTTTTCATTGGGCCCCTGAGGTTAGGGGGCCCTCTGTTAGCCACAAACATTCCCTACACTGGGGGGGGGCACCAGAGTGACTATTTGAGTGGGACCCCAGGAACAGCCACCACGCGTCGACGCACAGCAACGCCGGCACTGAGGCCTGTTAAAGGCGAGTATGAATGAATATACACCCACCATATGCTGTCCTGTTGCTGTTTATTTTACTCCTCAAAATGGAGCTCATCTTCTCTCTGTCCTGCTTTTGTTGGTTTTAATGACAGATTAATTGGACTTTGAAGTTTTCCAGTGTTTTTCTGCATGACAAAATTCCTTTTATTTCGATGGGGTTTGCCTTACATATAATGAGAACAGTG